CATTTGTTCAATAAAGTCATGCATGATATTTGCAATTATGATGAATATTTTGTTCAAAAGAGAAATGCTGTTGGAAATTTGGGACTGCTTCCCGAGCAAAAGTTCACAGCTGTTATACGAATGTTGGTGTATGGCTCATCTGCTGATCAAGTGGATGAGATTGCCCGGATGGGGAAGTCCACTGCTTTGGAGACCTTAGTGAGATTTTGTGATGCAGTCGAAACTCTGTACACCAGGGACTACCTGCGTAGACCTACGCCCAGGGACCTACAACGGCTTCTACAAAAAGACGAAGAGATAGGATTTCCAGGAATGATTGGTAGCATCGACTGCATGCACTGGCAGTGGAAGAATTGCCCGACCGCTTTGCAAGGTGATTATGGGAATCGGAAAGGCCAAAAAAGCATCATCCTTGAAGCCGTTGCAGGTTTTGATACGTGGGTTTGGCATGCTTTCTTCGGAGTTGCCGGATCTCAAAATGACTTAAACGTCCTGGGTTAATCCTCGGTGTTCAATGATTTTTTGAGAGGTGAAGCCCCAAATATCACCTATCAAATCAACAATACCGTCTACCAAAATGGGTATTATCTAGTTGATGGCATCTACCCGAGGTGGACCACATTTGTCAAGTCAATTCCGCATCTCCGATCCCAGAAGCAAAAAAATTTTGTTGCCTATCAAGAGGGGTACATAAAAGATGTGGAGATGTGCTTTGGTATCCTCCAAGCCCAATGAGCTATTATTAGGGGTGCGGCACGTATGTTTGATGAGGAGGTGCTGAGGAGCATAATGATGACATGCATCATCCTCCATAACATGATTGTGGAGGATGAGTATGATTACAATTCTGAAGACGTGTACGAACCGGATCCAATGAACACGATCTTGACACGAATTTATGAAAAACCTATGGGGCCAAATGGAGAACTAGTGCAGCATGAACCGTTGGTTAGGGACGGTGGTGTAATGACCCGTATGATTGATCGATATACGGAGATGCAATCGTCTTATATTCATGAACGACATCAAGTTGACTTGATGGAGCATTTATGGGCGGTGAAAGGCAATGACGGTGAATGAAGTGAAGTGAACAATTTTGTTTTATTTATTATGTTTATGTTTTATTTTTTGTTATGTTTTTTTTTAGTTTAAGGCTTTGGTTGTGGTTTGTTTATTTTTAATGCTTTGGATGTGGTTTGTTTTTTTATGTATGGAATGTTTTTAATAAAAAGGTATTTTATTGAATGCATGAATTACAACTAATTTTCAAAATAAAACATTAAAATACAATGAAAATAAAATACATGAATTACAACTAATTTTCAAAATAAAACATTAAAATACAATGAAAATAAAATACATGAATTACAACTAATTTTCAAAATAAAACATTAAAATACAATGAAAATAAAATACATGAATTACAACTAATTTTCAAAATAAAACATTAAAATACAATGAAAATAAAATACATGAATTACAACTAATTTTCAAAATAAAACATTAAAATACAATGAAAATAAAATGCAAGCAAACTAACTTAAGGGTTTTGATTATTTAACCAATCCGTGTTGCTAGGTCCATCATCACGAAAAAGTCTTCGTTTCATAACATCTCTTCGTTCTAGCTTCCAAAATTGTTTTGTTTCAGGGGACATATGGCTTGTATCCATGGCCATGGTTTCCCGATCCTGCTTCTCACTGTTTTGCTTGCGTGCATACTCCCTTTCTTTTACACATTCCATTTGAAATGTCCTGTCATCTTCTTGGGTTTTCCTCTCTATTTCAAGTCTCATGGCGCTTTGCCTTGCAATTTCCTCCAAAAATTTAGATGAATTACTAGTAGAATTACTCACTCTCTTTGCCTTCTCCGCCTTTCTCCCAATAGGCCTCGACTCCTTTTGGATGGGTGAGTCTTCACTCATTGGGGAATTGAGAGGCGAATCCGATGCTGTTGAATTATGGAGTGGCGTCTCGTTCAACACAACGGTCGGACCCGTGGGAATAATTCTGAAACGTTTGCAATTTTTGACTACCTCCCAACATTCATGATGGTTAAAAGATTTTTTTCCTTGCCCAATAGCACCAAACCACATTTGTGCTTGCACAATCTATTTATAAAAAAATATTGGAAATACAAGAAACATTAAAAGATATTGGCAATGCAAGAAACATTAAAAAATATTGGCAATGCAAGAAACATTAACAAAATATTGGGTATTAATGAAATATTAACAAAATATTGACAATGCAAGAAACATTTATAAAAAAAATATGAGCACATTAAAATTAATAAAACAAAAATTACAAATAATTTACCTCATCGGTAAGATTTTCCCTGCTTCTACGGTTGTCCATCGCTTTTGCCAAACCATTTCTCCATTTCCCCAACTCTTTATTGAGAATTTTCCACCTACTAGACAATGCCATTTACGTACGGGTCGAACCCGATCTTTCACAAAATTCGGAATGAATTTTTTTCCACATTTGAAAGAATTTTATCTCATTGCCCGTGACGGGACAATGAGAAATTTGGACCCAACACTCACACAACAAAACATCTTCCATGGTGCTCCATGCCCCAATACCGTCGATAGAAGAAGCCATAAAGATGATAAAGAAAAATAAAACTTGAAAGTGAATAAAATGTTGAGTACAAATTGAATAATAGTAGAAGTAGAAGAAAATGTATGAGGATTTGGTGTTGAAAGTGAAGAGTAGTGGTAGGTATTTATAGAAAAAAATTCCAGTATTTTTGTGTATTTTTTAAAAAAAATTAAGATTTTTTTTTCTTCATATTTTTATAGAAAAAATATTGGTTGCCGTTGGATTAGAGAGAGAAAGGAGATCGGAGCGCCCAGACGACGCCACCTGTCCTAGAGCCGTTGGGCGTGCGCAGGGCTGACGTCAGCATGCGGAAGTCAAATTTTTTTACCTCATTGCAGGCGCCAACGGTAAAAAAATTTAAGTTCCACGTGCTGACGTCAACTCCCCTGAGTTTTGGATTTAGGGCTGGACCTGCCCTCGGGCTAGCCCGACTTCGTGGCCCCCACAAGCAACTCGGGCTAACCCTTGCTGTTGGAGCCCGTTTTTCTCCCAAACCCCCTAGCCCGAGTCCAAAACCCTCTGCTGGACTTGCTCTGACGCCAGTTTATATTTTTTATGAACAGTTAATCACTGCGGTTTTTATTTAATTTTTTTATCTGTACAGTTTTGTATCTCTAGCCATTAGATTAATCTGACGATTAGGAAACACTGCCCTAGGATTTCTGCCCTTTTCAGGTGAATGAGCGTCCTACGTTTTCAAGAACAATCCGGATGTCTAGACTTTCGATGGAGGGAGATCCGTGGAAGCATAAAGGTTCACAGAACAAATTGCTCACACTTTATGTGAGTGTCAGGTCAGGAGGGGGATGAAAGTTACATGAAAAGTGGTGCAAGTTGGATAAAAATAAGGGGAATGCTAGCAACCTTCTTTCTAACATTCTCTTTTGGATATTCTCTCTTCTCCACATGACATGTGTCATTTTCTCTACACTTAAAACAATGACATTAATGCATTAGACAATATATCTTTTGTTCCCAAATTTACCCTTATTAGATGTATTAACTTTATATTTCCTTCAATTTACAACTTAACTTAAACAATTAAATTTAAAAAATAAACATTAAAAGTTTAATTAAATAAATATTTGAAAATAAAAACGAAGTATACTTCCCTGAAAAAAAAAAAAAACTTTTTTTGGTTCCAAAAATAAGTTTTACAATAAAACCGTAAAAATTATGGAATTTTAAAGAAATACAAATAAATATTTTTTAAAATTAATGAACATTCTAATTGATTAAAAAAGTTAAAGATAAAATGAAACAGAAAAAAAAAATGAAAACCCAAACCCATTGCAGCCTCTCTCTCTCTCTCTCTCTCCATTACAGCGTCTCTCAGTCCTCCCTTTGCTAAAACAACGGCCCCATCCCTACCCAATCATCACCATTCCTCTCCAATCCAAAACCCCACCGTGCACTGTACTTCTCACTCTCCTCCTTCATTTCCATACCCCAATACCCATTCTCCCTTCCCTCAGCAAAAAAAGAGTAGTAAACAAAATTTTTTTAATTTTTTTTTTAAAAAACTGACGTTAATTTTGTGGAAGATTTTAAAATTCTCTTTTAATTTTTTAACAAGGTGGAAACAAAAGTTAGTTTGTCCAATGCATTTAACAAGGGTAAATTTGGAAAACAAAACATATATTGTTTTAAGTGTAGAGAAAGTGACACATGTCATAAAGAAAAGAGAGAAGGTCCAAAAGAGAAGGTCAAAGAAAAGGTTGCTAGCATTCCTCTAAAAATAAAAGAGTGCTGCTATTTCCACCCACTTTATTTTCAAAATTTTAAAGACAAATTTATCCCTTTGTAAAATTACTTCTAAGGACTTGAAAAGAACATATTTAAAAATTCATATAAAGTAAATTTATTTTCTTTGACAACACAATATATTAGTTTTTAAAAAAAGGAAAAAAAGAAAAGAAGGCACGCTCAGGAAATTTGCAAGATAGGAGAAAATAATTGCTTATGCAAACCTGCACAACTGCAACATCAAGGAAGCAATGCGATGAACTCACCATTCATCAACTTATGGCAATTCCCATTTAGAATAAAATTTTAAAAACGAAAAGAAAAAGAAAAAAAAAAGAACCCTCCCACCCCAACCCCGATGGCAATTCCCCTTCATGGGCGCCACTGCCGCCTCCCTCTTTGTTTCTATTCCTTCCTCCATCTCTCTTTCATGTACAAAGAACAATCTTATTTAACATATGTTGTTCGTTTTCAAATTTTACCTTTTTCTTCCTTAACATCAACAACGTAATCTTTCCATCTTCCTCAAAATTAAAAGAATCAAAAAATCAAATTATGTATTCCTTGTTTTCTAAAGAGAGAGAGAGCAAGAGAGAAAAGAAGAGAATCAAAGAGGAAGAAGGAGGGGTGGTGGGTGGTGGTTGATGGTTCTTTTTCTTTTCAATTTTTTATTTTTAATTGTTTGAATTAATAATTAAAGGATATTTTTGAAATAATGGTGGGTGTGAAAATAGGATTATGTTTTTTCAAATTTATATGGTGGGTGAAAAGATAAGGTGAGTGGGAAAATAGGACAAGGGGGTGAAAATAGTAGCACTCAAATAAAATTGGAATTTAAAGAAATCCTTTGAAGTCAATTATTGGAACTTGTATTAAGGGTTAAATTAAAAAAAAATGGTAATATACATTTTTGGTTGTCATATTTTGCCTCGATTTTGTTTCTGTTACTACCTAAATGTGTACCTAATTTTCAATTGACACCTTATCTCATTTTTTTTAAAGAAAATTTAAGATATTAACTTTTTTTTTCGTCAATGTCTCTATGTTGTCTAAATTAGGAGTTAGCATAGTCCGATTCTCATCCCAAATCGAAACCGGAACTATTTATCCGGTCTGATTTATTCATCTGGTTTGAAGTTGCCTTGCCAA